GGATTGTTGGCATCGAGAGGAAGATAGAGGAGAAGAGGAAAGAAACAGACAAAAACATTTCAGAGGTACTATGGACCAAAAATACTGAAATACTAACATTGTCTGCCTTTACAAAATGTCACCATTGGATATTAGCTGAGACACTCATTAGGCAACCATGAAGCTATGTGTTGATACACCCGCTGTATGTTTGGTTTATGAACAAATTAAATCAAAATTGCATATATTTATTTTCATAAAATGTATAAACAAATTGGTCTCGTGAACTAGGAAGAATGTTCAGTTTTATCTTCAGTCAGTGTAGGGGTATGGATGCTTTGGAATGATATTTACATTTTATCTGCAGCCATGAAGTTTTGTGGTTTATCTAACTGAGGATAATTTGGAGCCATATTACTCATTTGATCTCTGTTTTCCAGGCCTTTGAGGACCTCAGTAAGCTGATGGTGAAGGTAAAGAGTGCTCTTCTCTGCATGTCCTCATTTCCCTGTAGTTGGTGTTTTATGAAATAATTATTAATGTCTTACAATTTTATCCAGTGACACTTTTTCTTTAACCATCATAACTATGGATATCAAACCAGTGGGATGTGCTGAATGATTGTCTGTTCTTAACTAACAGGCCAAAGAGATGGTGGAGTTGTCCAGGTCTATAGCCAACAAGATTAAAGACAAGCAGGGAGACATAACAGAAGATGAGGTAAGAACTTGACCAGTATGATGAGAAGCAGAAACACGGGGACAGTAGACATCATTCCAAACTACTCTGTATGGTTACTAATCATAATGCTTTTTATTAATAGTCTTGAATTTCAGTGGGTCATCACACACAACTTGTCTAATCAGAGCTCTGACAAACAAATAGTGACAAACCCCCATGACCCGCTGGTGAACCGTTTTGAAGCCTTGTTTTTGGAGGAGCGGGGGGGTGGGTCTGACTCGAGGGTTTGAAGACGCTGAATTCCCACCCACACCTGCAAGCTGCACAATGCATATAGTCAAAATGTATATGTAAAGCCCATATTTACAAATCACAATTTTATTTCTGGACCCAGAGTCTATGATCCAAAAGAGTGCGATCACATCGTGCTGTACCACCATACAGTCTTCACACTTAAATACCCACAGTTTGGTTTCCTTTTTATTAATGGATATGTTTTGCTTTACAGACAATCCGGTTTAAGTCTTACCTGCTCAGCATGGGTATAGCTGACCCTGTCACCAGGGAAACACATGGATCGGGCACACATTACCACCTGCAGCTGGCTAAGCAACTGGGAGATATGCTACAAGCCCCTCTAGAGGTAGGTGTGAATCTTTTTGTGTTGTGCAGTTTACATCAACACAGGCAGAGATCATACAGTACTTCTGAATAATTTCCTTACTTTCTTCATTTTATCTTGATCTCTTTCTTAATCTCTTTTCTCTCCCTGCTCTGTCAGGAGCGTGGGGGGATGATGGCTCTCACTGAAGTGTACTGTCTGGTTAACCGTGCTAGAGGGATGGAGGTAACACTCACACACACACACACACACNCACACACACACACACACACACACACACACACACACACACACACACACACACACACACACACAACATCAAATGATTTAATGGATTATGCTTGAGTGTGCGTGTCCCAGCATGTTGGTTCTAGCTGAACTGAATGACACAACTGTGGTGTGCATAGATTCATGGTACACAAAAATGTCTGTCAGACACTGAGGTTGTTTTCCACCTTTCCGTAGCTTTTATCTCCAGAGGATTTGGTCAACGCCTGCAAGATGTTTGAGTCGTTGAAGCTCCCTCTGAGGTGAGTTTGAGTTGTGTTTGTCTTTGTACTATATTCCCTTGTGGTTGTATAGACAAGGCTATGTGTTTAACTGTTTAATAAAGGAATATGGGGCAGGGAAGACGCCCACTTTACACAGACCAGGCTCTTCCTGCCTGGCTTCCTGTTGTTGGAAGTGGTGTCCAGCCCTCTGCAGCTGTCATTTCCTGTCACTTCCTAGGGTTTCAAAAAGAAACACTGGCCTGTTTCCCTGCTATCTATCTACTAGCGCCCTGGTTGTATTTTAGTTTGATAAAAGATCACATTAAAACAGTTGAACTTCTCTCTACCCTCTCTCTCCCCTTTATCTCTCTCTCTAACACACACACATAACACATTTCCCTTCATCCATCTTCTCTGTTAGGCTGCGTGTGTTTGACAGTGGTGTGATGGTGGTCCAGCTGCAGTCTCACAGCGAAGAGGAGATGATCGCCTCTGCACTGGACAACGTAAGCTTTTACTGTTATAAACATTAAACTGACGACAACCCAGTCACACCTTACATATCCATATGTGTATGAATGTATATATGTGTGTAAGTTTTCTCCTCTCTTGCTCTTCTACAGGTGTCAGATAAAGGTTCGTTGACAGCGGAGGAGTTTGCTAAACTCTTGGGTCTCTCTGTTCTTCTATCTAAGGAACGGTACGTTATCTCCTATTATTGATTTATTTTATTGCTTGAATTGTATTTTAGCGTCTTACTCTTTGTGTCCTCCTCTTTACTCCCTCATCTCCAGGTTGCTGCTGGCTGAGAAGATGGGTCACCTGTGTAGAGACGACTCTGTCGAGGGGTTGAGATTCTTCCCAAACCTCTTTTGACCTGTTGACAGTCATTGTTGAGATAGAGGAAAAATAGCTGAAACTGAGCTGCACTGTCTCTACAGACTGACTCTGACCTCTGTATGTTGTACAGCAATAGAGTGCTCCTCTGTCTTATCATGATTATTGAACAGTTGGTGTTCTGGTAGTGGTGAAAATCCAGGTACCACCAGCTATTTTCTACTTAGACTTAAAACAAAGGGTCTCTCTTTTACATTAATTTAAAAACAGCCAATACTGTATATGCAGCAGCAACGTGTCCCCAGATGTCCCCTTAGTGTGTCTTTGGTAATAAATGGGTTTGGGAAAGTTGATTTAATGGAATTGTTTTTTATAAATTTTGTTTTAACATTTCTTGTGTCGCACATCATAAATATTTATAGTGCTCTTGTATTAAAAAGCCATAGTCACAATCACATTTGCCAAAGTTAAACATACATTTATTGAATAAATATTTAATTAACAAAGCTTGTCCTGCTGTCATAGCTTCAGAGGAAGGGGAGAACATGCCCAAATGTCCATGTTTCAAACGATTTATCATATTTTGGTCTCACCATCAAACTGTAACTCTAGTCCCTAAAATTGCATTTGTCAGAGATACGTTCAAGATAAGATCAACAGGAATAAAATACCTGCTCTTCCTTCAGTTTGGTTCTCAGAGTATAGAATAAAGGGCACATTGCCAAATGTCATTCTCCAGGTAATGAATCTCTTCAGTGTAGAGGTCATGTTAAAGAAATTCCAGTTGTGACTCTTTTGAAGCCAAACTGAAAGGTGAGCAGTCTTATTAATTGGCTCAGTGAAGCTTTCAAAGCAAGCACTTTTAAACTCTTATCACTTTAACTTATCTATTAACAGTTTATCATATGAGCTTATTGAGAGCAGCTGGTCTATGTAGCATATCTTATGATTTATTTGTATTTTTCATCCCTGTTGGTCTTTTCATACACAGGATAGAGCACGTCTTTGTTCCTATTGTGAACTGAGCTGAACAGTAAACGGGGTTCTGCACAGCAGCTTCCTGTTTTCTGCTGCCTCGCTCTCGAAGGTCTGCAGAGCTATACAACTGATTAGATTATTATGTCATGTGCTTCACTGATTGTTCTTGAACTCAATTTGTCCAGGAGATCACGAGAGCTGAACTCATGCAGGTATTAGCCTAATAATTGGGGGGTTCATGCACAGTATTAAACTTTTAGGTGAACATGAGCGGTGGTGTTGATTTCAGGTTGTCCATACATACGTCACTTTGTCATGAATGTGATACCTCAGGAAAACCCTGAGGGATTGTTTACATTAAACTAAAATTCACTTGATCTTAAAGATGAACTGAATAGATATTGGTATGGAAAGGTTAAAGTTGACTCACGTCACATCACGTAATAAATTAAATTTTGGCCTCAACTGAAGAATTAATATGCTAAATAATGACACAATTGACAAATTTAAACTTATGAGGAGAGATTGTTACCTTGTATCTCTTCATTTGACTGAATAATAATACAATTCTCACTTTTTTTTGTACTTGTGTCCTGTTCTTGTTTACTTAGATTCTCTGATAACTTAACCATTCTCTGTCAAAATCTTAATAAAGTTTGTTTTCATTGCTGGGGGAAGAATGAAATGTCAATTTCTATTGGAGCAAGATTTGATCTGATTATGAGTAGTCGTGCAGTTTACTCATGTGACGTAAAAACATCACTTTAAAATGATTTACGAGTGATTGCCTGTCCAAAGATTGAATTATCGATCTATCTCTTCCATCTCACATATTCCCACGTGCACTCACTCTCCTCAGGCACATGCCTGTGCTCAGTGCCATCTGAGGGCCTGGGTGCCTGTTGTTCAAACTAACCTGCTGAATGGTGCATTTGATGGGATGCAATAACTGAACTGACAGAAGAGTGAAGGGTCCTTCAATATGCTTCAATACTACAGTGCAGTTTAACTTGCAATATAAATGAATATCTTAAATATTAAATATATAGCTGTGTATAGTGTTATAGTATATTATATATATATACATACACATATCTGTATGTCTATCTGTATGTCTGTCTGCCTGTCTGTCTGTCCATCTATCTATCTGTCTATCTTTCCACACTTTCCTTTTTTCTCTATTTTTTTTATTTAATATCGTCAAGCACCACTTTTTTTTTATTATTTGTCTGTCTGTCTGTCAATCGATACTTTTATTTATTTATTTCTCTAATATCTCACACACACACACACACACACACGCTCTTCACTGCGCCCCCTGGTGGTGAACGTGACGTGCCTGTGCAGTGGATCCCTCTCACGCGCTTCCTACACCAGCACGCGCTGTCTCACTAAGCTCGGGCTCCTGTTTCCCGCGCGGACCTTCAGTGTTGACAGCCTGGAGGAGTGTGGCCCCGGAGCACCGAGGGGCCCCCGTACCTGCCCTCATGCGGTGGGACAGCTCAACGATGCTGAGTGGAGTCAGCGAGAGATGTGAGTAGAAAGTGATTTATGTTAGACTTCTCTCAGAGGACCGAGCTCTGCACTTGCTTCTCTGCTGCTCTTCTGTTAGTTTCAGACTTCAGCTGGACCCTACGACCCGAAACCACAGCTGAACAGGGTCCATGTTGATATTCATCATGTTATTGTTCCTTTTGTTTATTGATGTGATGGGGACGATGCTCGTTATTCAACTGACAAACACTGTGAATGAGCCAGAGATTCTATATAAACTTATTTCCACCTGTTGTCCAAACTGAAGTAAAATAAAATGACCTATATTATATATGATAACAAATATCTATGGATACTTCATGTGCATTATACATACCATCCAAACTATCTGTGCGGAAATCCATGACTGAAAACAAGTGGCTAATGATTCTTTTCTGATTTCTGCTCCTGAAGGTTGTATTTTTAAACTCAGAGAAGGATAAACACTTAATGAACAGCAGAACATTGTACAAATCTGAGGTTTATAGATCGATTATGTGTTATACATCCTCATGGTGTTTATACAATATTTAAGGAACACATTGATATATATTGGACATTTCTTAAATTGCTGAAAATTATACTGCAATAGCACAAACTTAGTTACTGATGCATTACACTCAAATGTCACACACTTTAACTTCTAATAGCTGAGCAGATCGGATTCATCACATAAAAACAAATATGGACTCTTTATTTAAAATATGTCTCGTATCTAAACACAAATTGATTGTGAAGAAACAAAACAGAAACATGAACTCCTCCTTCAGGGAAACAGTCGCAGTGACCAAACAACACACAATGAAATCATTAAACTGTATAGCGTGTTCCAAACAGAAGACAAAACAAATAAAAGGTCAGGAAAAAACTGTAAAAGTTATAATAATATTAATAATGTTAGGTAAAATAGAATAAAATTAAAGTATCTACAAACCATTTTTAATTAAAAGCAATAACATGGCTCTGCCTTATAATTACTTGTTGTGAACAAAGCCCTCCTGTTGCTGCCGCACTTGTGTGATGACGGCAGCTCTACGAACCCATTGTGAAGATGGAAGGAAGAGGAAGACGCCACTGTAAATCCACAAATCTCATGCTCTCAGCTTCACGCTCTTCAGTCTTCCTGTTTTTCTTACCTCGGATGAGTGCATTGCTTCTTCCATTCCTTCTCCTGACTCAAAACCTCTCCAAGTGGTTGCCAGCTGCTTTCTTGAGGATTACTTTTTGTTTATTTTTGTGATTTGCCTCTGATTTGTAGAGGTCAGGGATGGTGGCAGACGCCGGTCATGAGGAGTAGAAGGAAACAGAGGCACAGACTTTCGGAATGCCACGGGCTGTCAATCTTCTGCCTGTCCTGCTGGCGCTCACGGGATACGGTGAGGGTCACTATAACAGTCTTAATAACATAACTAAATATTAGAAAAGCCTGGCAGGATCTTTGACTTTTGATTTTAAACACATTTATTTAAATGGGATGTAATGTGTGTTTTCATTCAAATGGGACAGTGAACTGGAGGAAAATGTAGAGGAGGGAATTGGGCAATGGAGGATCAGCCTTTTCCTCTTCCCACACCCTCTTTGCTTTGTGAGGATGTGAGGTTTGAACAATACACAGCACAATAGAGCTCAAAATAATATGCTGCCAATGCTACTGATTTACTCTTTCCCTCAGCACTGATACACTCAATTAGATCTGAGCAGTTACTATGAGCATAACATCTGTAGTTTACTATGAGTGCATGTCAGTAGAAAACTGAGCTTATTATTTAGTTGTACTGAGCAGATTCCATCATGTGTGGCTGTGTGGTTATTCAAACTGAAGTTGGTGCCACTTGGACAGAGAAAATAAATGAATAGGCCTATATATAAAATATTTCCATATAATTGTGCATGTGATTTATGATGCTCAATTATGTCGTCAACATTACATAGCAATTAAGTCACATTTCTCCCAGACTGACATTTAAAATGTGAGAATGACAACTAAGTGACAGTTCCCATTTGACTTCCACGTTCAGTCCTAAACAACAACTTTACATAAACTTGTCCACACCTTAACGGGTACAAGGATAAATCTGTTCAAGAGGATGTCATGTTTTTGAATTACTGCAGATTGATTCACTCACACCATTGTGTCACAAGCTGCAGATGATCATTCACGCCTTTATTTAATCCCATTTAGACTTCTGCAATTTCCCTTTTACCTTCCTTAAATAATCATCTCTGGACCACCTTCAAGTGGTCACTTATGTCCACTGGTCAGAGATTTTTTCAAAAACATCACCATGATTTCAAAGTTGTGTCCCCAACATTACTTCCAACAGATTTATGTTCTACAGTATTGGCTGAAGCCTAACAACCTAAACCCCATTCATTCACACTGACTCACTGTGTGCATTGATAGCAGATAAACATAAAGAAGGTTTAAAAATACCCAATAAAACAATATCGACAAAATCTTTTCGACCATTTTATATCCATAGTGGACATTTTTTGAGATTTTTGTATATCATTCAAGATCATAGCTAAACGTTCTTTCCGTTTGTCTCTCTTCTCCTCATCCTTTTCTGTAGCGTTCGCAGGGCTGAGTATCTGGCCCTCCCTCCACGTTGCCCTGAGCAACGCCAGTGTATTTGTAGACTTCATCACAAAATCCAACATCAGCACCGTCCGCAACACAAGCCTCTCACTTGTCAACATGGAAACCAACACCACCATTCACACCAGGACTCTCCCCAGCAACCAATGGGCGGGCAGGGTGGAGTTGGACTGCTCCTGCTTCCTGTCTGCAGGAACTTTCAGGTTCCTGCTCAGGCAGACCAGCCACACTGTTGTTTCTCATGGTAACAGCACAGATGTGAGTAGCAAGGAGAGCACCTCCTGGTGGTGGAGTTCAGAGCTGCAGGTGCAGTGGCCTACCTTTCACATTGCAGTGGAGAGGGCTGGAAACCACTCAGGATCTTTTCAGGTAAGAAAAATACTTAACACACTCCGCTGGTTTATTGTGCTGCAGAATGATTTTCATACTTCTCTTCTTCTGTCCCTCACCAGGTTGGAATATCCACTAATGAACATTTTCAGGCTTGTTCCAGTGGCCTCGACTCCGCTCTCTTCCTGGAGGTCAGCTACATGGAATACAACCAGATTGGGCGCAACAGCATTGACAAGGTCCGAGCCCGCACGCGACACCCAATCAAACCTCTCCGTTCCCAGAGCGTTGAGCTGTCCTGCGCCTTCCCGTTCACAGAGAGAGACTTCATACAAGTGGCTTTGAGGTCTCCTCATACAGCGCAGGAAGTGAAGAGCTCTGGGCCGCTTTATCTCTCACGCATCTTCTCCTATAAACTGCTGGTGGAAAACGCCAACGCTTACAAGAGCGGCTGTAAAGGGACAATAACTGTTAGACTCATAAGCCCACCGTGTGTTCACATCAGTGGGAAAGTGTTGCTGTATAATATGATGGGGCTCGGTCCAGAGGAGCCCTCCTCTCCTATACTGGCCTATAACTGGCTGACGCAGGGAGAGAATGAGACAGAGTTCAACTGCTCTGTGTTCGAACCAGGAAGGAATAAATACTGCTTCCGCTTTGTTTTCAACTTCAGCCACTCCCCTAGTCCAGCACAGACCTGCTTGGTGGTGCACAGGACTGCAGGTGAGATCGGACACATTCACATATGGCAGCTGCTAAGAATGAATTTACGCTCCACTTGTTCCTCTGCTTTAGTCATCCAGATTTTCCAAGATTGATAAAGTTCAGTGGTGGAAAACAAAACAAGAGATAATCTAAATGGAAATCCATTAAATAAGGTGTTTTGATGGCCTTGATGTCTGTTATATTCAAACACAGTAGCAGCACAAATATTAATCAAGGCTTGTAAATGGAACTTTTTTTATATGATTATTTCTTCACTGCAGAGTCATGGGGACCCTGGCAGCCATGGAGTGTGTGCAGTGCGAGCTGTGGAGAGGGGGTGAGGGAAAGAGTGCGAGAGTGTTTGCTGCCCTCACGTGTGGGAACGATGCAGTGCACCGGCATGGTGAAGGAACAGTCCCTTTGCTCACTGGAGGACTGTGTTGGTCAGTCATTTGGCATTTTATCTCCCCATCTTGTTCAGACGAGAAGATAAATTCAAAGTTCTAGATGCGCATTCTAACATAATTGTCTCAATTTCCTCCACAGCTTTGCCCGCTCCTTCTCCATCCCTCCCCACTAAACCTGTTGGATTTGCAACCTTTGGTGGTAACATGGTCGTTGTGGCTGGTATCTCCCTCTGCCTGGCTGTGATTATCACTACCATTGTGGTGACGGTCTGGAGAAAGCTTTGCCACACCCCTCAGTGCAGCTCTGTCCGCAGTGGCTCCATGCATTCCCCTGGGGGCCGCAAGCTGTCGGATGAGGCCTCCATCTGTGGACACAGCCTCCAAAGACCCAGCCTCACTGAGGGCCACGGCCCACAAGGGAGAATGGGTGTGGGTGCAGCCCAGAAAGAGAGGCCTTTCTTGGGAAGTGCACCTCTGTCACAGACCCAGGTGATAGCGTTCTCACAGGACCCAGAAAGACTGTCTCCCACAGGTCAAAAGGTGTTGCCACCAGTATTTGGGTATGTCATCACACATACAATGTTATTCTCAAACATATTCTGTCAATGGTTTCAGAATGTAAACATTTTATGAACTCTCAAGGTACCGCTTGGCTCAGCAGCAGCTGAAAGAAATGAAAAAGAAGGGGCTGAAGGAGGCTACCCAGCTGTACCATGTCTCTTCAAGCCCAGTCCATGACACCTTGGTGGAGACATCTGCTTCACCCACCAACTCCCCGATTCCTACACCAACTGAATTAGTTAATTCCGGCCTCCCATCAGGTCTCCAGGACAACGCCAACCACCACGGCTTTAGTATTGCTGCATCCTTCGCTGAGCCTCCGCCGCAGATTCCGAGGGTCACGCCTGACAGAATGAGCCCCAGAGTGGACCTAATCTTAGGTCCTGCTGGGTCTAGAAGTGGGGGCAGCTCAAAATGGCGTGACCGCACTGCCCACTGGGTGGAGATGGTGGAGAGAAGTGGGTTTGCAGGCCACAGAGGAGGAGGTGAAGATGCAGGAATGGGAAACTTCAATCACAAGAATCCAAATTTCCGCCGCACCGCCAGTTTCAATGACCCCAAACCCCAGACTCCGTCCTCGGGACAGTCCAGACACTTCAGAGAACGGAGCATGACCCAGGTAGGTGACCTATCGTGAACATTGTTGGTCAGATTTGCAAAGATCTGTTTAAAAAAGATTATACATTGTTCATTTCAGGTGGGATCTCGCACCCTGCCTGAAGGAAGTTGTTTGACCAAAGGAGGATGGGAGAGGCAGCCATACCACTCTTACCCCATTCCAGAGCATGGGACTCCAGACTGGACTAAACCTGGACCCCAGAGGAATGACCAGAGGAAGCCCTGGTTAGAGACAGCTGCTCCCTCTCGCAACAGTGAATTCAAACACACAGGGACCAACACAAACAGCATTTCAGCATCTGAGAAAGATAGTAGAGGAGGCGTCATTGGCCCTGCTGAGAGGCAAAGAAGTGGTGGGCCTGTAAGTGGAGGGAAAGAGGGATTGTCAGGGTTTGGGGGTCCGGCTGCCGGGCCTGCAGGTTCTAATGGAGTGAACCAGCTGAGTATAGAGCGGGCAGAGCTCAACTGGAACCGTCGTGGCCCATCGCCAATCCAGAGGAACATCCTGGCCCGTAAATTAAAGGAGGCTCAGTCCTGCTCAGGGATCAATGGTCGGCAGCGGAGCTCCACCTTTAGTGCACCGTCGTCCGAGCAGAGGATAGGTCGCTGCCACTCTCTGCAGATGTCTGGAGACTATAGCAGCAGTGGCGGGTCCCCCTACAGGCTGAGCGAAGCGGAGCAGAGGATGCTGGACCTTGATCTGTCATCATCGTTTGTAGGCAAGGAGGAGTAGATCACACTGGTTTATAGTGTGATACCATTTACATTTATTCTGTTACATCATTTCGACTAAGATAATTCCATGTGTTAAGAGATTCATGGCTTTTATCTATGAGAAGCAGAGATAAATATAAGATATTTAAGTTTGTTTATTACTAAAATGTTATTATTTATAATTTTGGTTGGCATTATAGATGAACAAATTTCTTAATTCACAGACTCACTGTTCAGATGTTCTCTCTAGACAAGACACTTGGTATACATTTTTGTTTTGTATCAACTACTGGTACAGGAGTATAGAAGGACCTTGTACCTCCATTAAAAAAAATGGTTTTATTGTTCTATACCACTGAATGTGATGTTTTCATTATGCTGTGAAATCAAGCTTGTTAACTGCTCTGGGACACACTGAAGCTCTTTTCAGTCATGAGTTTCACATATGAAGATCACAGCAGGAGAATGTCAGACATGTTCATAACAACAGGAAAATGTGTGGAACATTCAGGTGAGGGGTGACGTCTGCGTAGAGACATGATGTCTAAATTACGCCGCAGAGTTTATGTTTACAACACATCGACACTGGCGTCGACCCTTATCACCAAACGCGCTTGAATCTCGTTCTCTTTTCAAGTTGACATCTTTGTCTGCATCTTCATCAGTGTTCACCTCATACTGCTCCTCTGGAAAATGTCAGGAAAATGATTGACTTCAGCACATTTCTAAAAGCAGCTTTTAGAAATGTGCTGAAGTTGAAGCAGTGTCAAGCAGTTTTCATGTGTTTTCTGCAAAGTGCACAAGTAAGAGCAATAGTATCCAGTTGTGACAAATCAAATATGAACATCCACTGGGCAGCATGGCTGAAATGCTGTTAGTTTTATTTCTGGAGTAATATCATACACTTTATAGAAAGGGAGTGCCCACTATAAAACAGTCAATAATGTACTATTGACATCGACAAAGGGAGAAATTACAATACATAGAATTTAAACATGAAATCATTCTTTGCTCTTAATTGTTTTCACTTGATTCTCTCTCTTAAATATCCCCTGCTCCGCTGCCGTCGACGTCCAAGAAAACAACAGGCCGCACCTTCATGGTTGTGTGACGAAGGGAATACCAAAGACCTTTCCATGTCCCCCACACCACGCCATTGTCATGCTGGTTCTTGTACTTCCCGGAGCGGTAGAACTTCCCATTTAGGTTGGCTGCATGACATCTGTGGGTGTAATAGTACTACATGTCAACATCTTACAAAAGACAAATTGAAGTGATTCAATCTCTATGTATTTGATTTAAAGCTTCTGCAGTTTCTAGCAGCTTCATCAGTATGATTCCCTACTTCCCTCATCCATAGACAGTATATAAAGATGGACAACTTGACAGCTCCCTAAAAGTGAGGTCATCTTCATTACCCCCTAGTGGCCAGCTACAGTATAGCAGATTGGACTTGGGTCAAATTTGAGAGTCAAACATTGAAGTTTGGTTTTAATTAATTACTTGGTTGTGTGTCAGCGGGACCTCGTTACCACGGCTCCATATCACGATCACTACTGCAAGATTCCGGCTCAAAAGCACAAGGTGGAATTAACTTCACTTTTATACAAAGGTAGGAAGTGGAGCCATGTTGTCCATGTTTATTTATTCATGGATTCAACAGGCAAAAGAGCTTTGTACAAAAACTTCCCAACAGTTTGAGTGTTTGTGCGACAAACAGAAAGGAGAAGGTCTCACCTGTTAAACCACCATCCTGCCTTGTTCTCCTGGGCACAGCTCCCCTGAAGGTAGCGATCATTGTCCTGTCAATCAGCATCACCACAGTCATCATCTCTACATTTTCAGTACCAAGCAGACCAGTCTTACAGCTATTAAAAAGCACCACTGATGGGTAACAGGGAAGTGATAACGAACCTGATCCCTGGTACTGAACTGCATACCACTGAGACAAGCAGACCACTGCTCCACCACCCCACCACCACCAGTCAGAGCGTCTCCAGCTTGGCCACTGTACTGCTCATAATGGAGGCGATACTTATCCTGTAATGGACAATAGAGCAATTAATGTTTGTTGGGTGTTTCATCTGAGATCAACAAACAGAAATGTAAAATAGTTTTTCTTACAGCCTCATCGCTGATCCTGAAGTTCTCGTAAAATGCATAACTTCTCTGTCCTTCCCAGTCCATGAGATCTATCTTCACCAGGTTCTTACCTTCAGCACAAATAGATACAGACAATCATTGAGAAATAAGCTGCTGATGTGACAGAAGATGAGACTATTCATGTGAATCATAAACAGGAAGAGTTGATCGCACTGTATTCGGGTTCTATACTGTCTTTTGGTGGATTTTAATACTTGCTGACCGTCTGAGAGCAGAGAGTACATGTGCTCGTTCCCCAACCAAAACTCATCATTCCACAGTTTGAAGTCACCAAAGCCGTCTTTGTAGTCCACCCAGTCTCTGAAATGACAATTAGGCAGGTGAATCAGATCCAGTCAAACAGTAAAGTTCTATCTGCACATAGTTTAATTTCACATATGGTGCAAGAGACAGTTTCTCTATTAAATACCTGTTGAAGTCAACTCTTCCATGCCGGCGTCTCTGAAACACTGTCCATCCTCCTCCGTCCTCCATGTCACAGTAAACCAGAAAAGGCTCCTGGTGTGACTTGGGTCTGATTCGGTAGAAACCACTGGGGGGTCTCAGTCTGTCAAACAGCTCAGAACAATCTAGGAGGAAAACATTGCCTTCAAGTTTACTCATTACCATCAGTACCGCTTTAACTTTCACTCTGAACGATGACTGATCACATACTTAAAGTTAACACCCAAACACTGGGATGCTGTGATGTGAGGTTTGCTCACCCTTGTCGTGTACGATGATGTTGCCTGCTGGAGGAGGTGGTTTCATCAGTGTCGTATCAGAGCTGTTGAGCGTCGCACTGCCATTGTGGTTTGCACCAGAGGCTGTGTCAGTTTCAGCTCCAGCATCAGGCACCGCAGGTTGAAATGGACGGAAATATTTGTGCATCTGCAAATGCTCAACCTGCCAAGTCCGAATCAAGAGGCTATTCTCCAGCCTTTTTATGCTGCGTTTAAGAGCTGCAGCCTCCGGCCCACATGAGTCTCGAGTCTTAAATGAGAAGGAAAGAGAAATTTCAAGTTATGCATGATGTTTCAAACCATGTTTTCAAAAGGGAGCTGCAAATGCGTAGGTCTGCCCCTGCAGCAGGGTTTATCCATGTCTGCCTTTCTAGGAATGACGGTTCTATAACAGCACAACCTTAAAACCTAGATTCTCAGTTTTCAGTTTCAATGTATAACAAAAAGAGAAACATGCACCTGAAGCCCTTCAAGAGAAGAACAATTTAAATTTACTCACTGTTAAATGGGTAGAAGAGGCCGTGTTCAACACCAGAGCCAACAACAGCAATGCTGACATGACTCCTCAGAAGAAGTAACCTCCAGCAATATCACACTGAAATCATAAATACAAAATATATACTAAATAAGCTGCAGTACTTCAAACTAAATCTCTGCATCACAAGCCGTACCTTTATTTCCCAACGCTTCTGTTTTCTCCAGGTTCACTGTTCTCTTCCTCTAAAGATTTGTCAGTGTTATTTATAGGCTGGGTCAGTTTTTCATGGTCCACATCACAGGATCCAGATTTCGCCAGCATTGCCAAACTCTGAACTCAATCCAGCTTCCCCCTTCTTGAGAAAGTGTAGCTGATCCCAGAGCTGCAAATGGCCTCATGGACAGAACGTGCAAAGAAGACTTCATTCCTCACATACCAGAAGAGGGTTTTTTTTCTTTCTTTTTTTAATATCTTCTTGTTTTGAGGAAAGAATCTGATAAAATATAGAACATCTTGTATTTTCATTTTAAGTTCTGGTCATGCTATTATTTGTTTGGTGTTGAGTCATAAACTGGAATTTCCTCCATATTTTGTTATTGGTTTACAAGTGGCCCACACCAGCAGCCTGGGAGGAAAGTAACAGTCTAAGATGGGAACATTTAAAGTTGTCGGCGTCATAGTACACAGAAGATTGACAATGAAGCAGATTAAAAGAGTTAGGCTCTAAAGCAACATAAATCTTGGGAACTATGTCCCCCAACAAGTTAAAATTGTCATAAGAACAAAAGATAATCAGTAATCACAAGTGTGTAAAACAGAGAAAAGCAGTAGGTTCTTTTTGAAGGAGAAGCCAGGGTGTAGTGTAGAAGAGCTCTCTCTTGTGTTACTTGTTGGCTATTACAATATTGGAACTAAATAAAATGCTACGTAACTATTCTTATTTTTAATTGAATATTTTTATTGCATGCTATAAATAAGACATTTAAAAAGTTGTTTATATTTATTTATTTATTCAACCAATCTATGCTTGTGGCTTTATATTTCAAGCAATTAAATACTTTTTTTGTGAACACAAATACATGAACATGGTACATCTTATATTTTATCCATTCCTGTGCTGCCTGCCTTCTTTATGATTGTAAATCACTTTGGCTCAACTCCTTTTGTTTTTAATTAGCTATTTTTATAAATCTGACTTGAATAATTTAATTTAACAAATATTATATAATGTTCCAATTTCCCAAGAAATGCTTTTGATAACTTTTGACAAACTTTGACTTTTTACACCTTTAGCTGACTAACTAATGTTCTATGACTGTTTTTTTTTTTACTAATTTTATTTCTAACATTGTACATCTTATCTTTCAGTGATTATTGTGTTGCCGTCAAATCAAGGATTGTAAAGCACTTTAAATATTTAAATAAATAAGTAATTTCCCAATTTCCTAAGAAATTCTTTTGATAATTTTTGACAAACTTTGACTTTTTACACCTTTAGCTGACTAATTAATCTTCTATGACTTTCACTGTTTCTCTTTCTTTTTGTTTTACAAATGTTATCTCCAACATTGTACATCTTATCTGTTATCCATGTTGCCTTCCAAACAATGATTGTAAAACACTTTTCAATAAAAAAAATTAAAAATACATAAATAAGGTCCCAATTTCGGGGAAATGTTTACATTTGATAAAATTCTATCAAATGTGAGATAGTTGTCATAGTTTGGAGTACTTGGAGTATATGGAGTACTTGGAGTATTTGGAGTATTTGGAGTACTTGGAGTACTTGGAGTACTTGGAGTATTTGGAGTACTTGGAGTACTTGGAGTGCTGGGGAATGCACAGTAGTGAATTAAATCCAGATGTTGGAGACAGGAGGGGGGGGGGCAGCAGCAGCCTGATGACTAAGTTATATTTATTATTAGTTCAAGTGAAATATGTGTGTGGACAGGAAGGCTTGTGTTGTGTTCAGGGTCAGTCAGTG